TTACTATGTTAGAGTTTGAACAATAATAAAGCTGAATAATCTTTTAATTTTTGCTCTATCAAATCAGCACGCTCTTATTTTACTTAGAAGTAGCGTACTTCTTGAATAGACAAAATTTACGATACAGTTGTCTTGCAGTATTTCAGAAAATTCTAATTTCACGCGAAAGATGCAACACTTGGTTGGTCCAGTCGAGCGTAGTCTCGCACACTTGATCGAGCGCGGTTCTATTTTAAAATATTGCATTTACACTCGGATACTCTTGGCTGGAGTAACACGCGTTAGTAAAACTGTCCGATCATCCTTCCTTTCTTATTCCCAATGCAGACCGAGCAGACGGTAATACGACCACCACGCTCTAACAATTATTGAATTGTCCAGTTTTCTGTTACACGAAAATTGAAATAAATTCCAGTTTTTTCCTTTTTATAATCTGTAATTGATTGTAGTAATAAGTTCGATGACGGACGTTTGCACATTCTGCAATTTTCGGTTACAATACTCATAAAATCACTGATGTGTTACATTGTAGCGTAATTTAATTATTTAAGGAACGGATGGTAACAGCAGCCATTTCTTCCTCTAATTATGCAGATAGAAACAGCGTCGAATGCAAATTAAATTAATTAACTCGGTAGGCGACGGAAGATCTGCGTAAGGATTTAATTAGATCTAAACTGAGACTCTTTGGCCCGGGGATCCGACCGGTAATTAACCGTAACGGATTTGAACCTTGAGTTCATACCAATTAATTCGCACTCACGCGTGAAGCTCCCGATTATAGGAAAAGGCAAAAGTTCTTTTGTAACAATAGACCATCGCTGTTGAAGCACAGTCAAGTTTGCCTAGTATTTTTGTCCGTACTTCTATTATTTTATGTTCTCAAGTATTTCACGTGCTTCTCTTCATAGCAGATAAATGCAGCAGTTCATAATTACATTTATGCTGATATATATTATTTTACTATCATAGATTTTTATATTTGCAAGGTTCCTTTATATTTAAAAGTATCGACAATTCATTCATTTATAATTTAATTGTACTCCCATACAGAATGTAGTAAATGAATTTCGAATGGAAGCTTTCTATTTTCACCAACGTGTCTGATTGTTCATGCATGAACCAATTCATTTGCGGTTGTTCACAGAATAAAGAAAGACGCGATGCTGGTATCAAATGAGTTTTGAATGAACGTTTTTCTCTTTTACACAAATAAATAATATGTTGTATGTACGCTGTTAACGAGACGAAAGTTTCGCGGGAAAGCCGCGGGACGAGACACGGCCGTCACGAGACAGACGCGTGTTACAAGAGAAATCTGCGAACGGAGCGGCCGCGGCTGTTTGATAGAGCAATTTCAACTTTCTCGGTGCAAGCTGCGCGTCGCGTATCTGTCCATCCGTCCCGACTCGAAAGGAATAATCGATTTTCCCCTGCCGGAAGTTCGTTTTGTTCTATTAAATTTAAACGTGCCGATTCACGTCCACGCGATTCGCGGCGTAATTCTTTCTTAGCGAAGGTTTTATTAATTAAAAAAAATAATTATCATTCGGATAATATTTTAAAGTTAACTATAAAATTGCCTCGAATTGTTGACTTATGTGTATTTTAAAATAAAGAAACAGAAGAACTACTCGAGTTTATTGAAACTGTAAATTAACATAGAAAATGTATCGATAGTACCTCGATTTTAATTTGTTAAATAAATAAATAAATAATCGATTTTAATATGCGTACAAAATTCCCTTTGAGTTTAAAATTAATGCAACAGTAACTGGGGTGTTCGACTTTAAACAGGATTTGAAATGGTAACAATGGTGTACGAATAAAATTTTATAAGGCCAACGGAGAGGTTGTTGTTTATTCAATTATTGCGTGTACACGGGACAAAAGAGCACGATTCGTGCATTCAGCGATCCGGCGAAATTCGATTCTAATTTATGATGGCTCACGCGCTCATTAACTTCGTGGTATTGAATATTATCCGACACAGCGATAGGAAATGGGCGATCGGCTCGAATGCGATAGATCACGAACGATAAAAACCATTTTTCGCATAATTCGCATGGTAGCATAAATATCCCAGTGGTTCCCACACTATAAGTCGTATTAAATATTGAAGCGTAAACGTTGTTAAACCACAATTATACATACATATATTAAACCCATTTAATGTAACACTAAAAGCATTCAATGGAGTATTAAAAACGCAATAAGTAGGAAAACGTATTATGTACTGAAAAACTTTTTTTCATTTTGTTATGGTGTCTGAGGCGATATGTGTGGAAGTGTTTTACTGTCTGAATGTTGAAAACACTACGGGAAGCAGGTTGATGGAAAAACGGACACCGACACGGACACGGGTGAGGAAACAGGCTGTAAATTTGAGTCGCGCGCGTGTAAATGTCCACGATATGCAACGCGTAAAAGCGTCGCGTCTCGGCCTCCTCATGCATAAATGCATCGTTCGCATTGGTAGACGCTGATACACGCAACTGTCGCGAGCGTACGAAGGAACAGACAGACAAGCTGCCATCGCGACGCCTATAAGCGGTAGGAATTAGGCTCGTAAAACGCGCGGCGCTTTTTTTAAATTCCATCGAAGGCCGTGCAAACGGCGAATTGAAGTTTATCATTTAAAAGGAAAGGTTGTGTTTGAGATTTCTGTTCATATACAATGTTATAAGTAAAGAGGACAGTGAAACATGCGTTCTAAGAATTTAACTATTCTTAAGAAATATTCATTTTAATTAATAATCTTATTAAAAGGAAGTTAATATTATTTATTCAGAATATGCGAATCAATTACGAACTCAGCAAAGTTAGAAAACGTATAAAACTCAAGTAGTCAAGTTACAACGAAACCCTATTGGAAACTTGAGATTCGAGTAAAATCGAGGACGAAATAAAATTAATTATCTAAATAAGGAGAAGAAGCACTTCATTTCATTTAAACTTATTATTTTAGTATTCATAAAACGATCTGTAGAAATTAATACTGTCTGAGATCGTTACTCGTTCTCTATTTTAATTTGCTTGAAGAAGATCGAACATCAAGTGACTGCTATTTCACAAAGTAATTCTGTTTTGTTCAGAAGAAGAATGAATGTCAGTGTCGTGGAATCAATGAATTAATATATCGTCGTAAGAAAAATAGTATTAAAAATGATAGCCAATTTCCATTATGGAAGATATACATATTTAATATTCAGCCTTTACATTTTCATATGAAACATTTCCATTTGTTTACAAATCGCAACGATAATCGGATTTCGTTCGGTTTATGTACGAAATTATTTATCAGTGGGAAAATCTGCATCAGTAATGTGGATCCTGTTCCCACGAACACTGCCAGGCATTCGTCTAAATCCTAAACAAACTTGAATACATCATTTGGCACGTACCGTGAACCCGATGCCGACCGTGGCCGCGAAGTTTCCCGGTTGGAATTTCCCGATGTCGAACTGGACCAACAGGGACGTCTTCCCAACCCCGCTGTCTCCTAGGAGGATTGTCTGCAAATAGAACAGAAAGGAACAGTTGGCTCTCGGTCTTGGCCATCGAATTCTTATCGAGTGCATGCCACTCGGTGCGAGTCCATCCCTTTATTGGATACCGCTTATCGAGGGACCACGATAAACTCCTTGAAATTCATATCCTTCGAGAACTCTAAACGTCTTTAAACTGACGTTCAAGAAAAATATAAATTTCATGTAGATGCAATGTGTAATAAAAACTGTTGGCAGGATATAATTAAATTTAATTATTCATAGGCTTATCAAAGGTTTTCCTACACAGAGTTCTTTGAAACACAATGGGGTCTAAACCAGCCCTTAAATCATAAGCAACTGAGAGAATTCCTTTGGATTTTTCTTGTGGCGGGTAGTCGGTTCTCAAATTACGCCTAGTGCATAGTTCGATTTCTCCTTTGAACCATGACGCGCTGTGTGGTCCCATAAAGGCTGCGGTCGGCAGTCAGAACTTTGTTGCTCATCTCTGGCTACTCACTGCCGTACCTTTTTCTTTCTCTTTGCACCGTTCCTTCTTCGATGGCAACACCTGTAGCCGGCAATAATCGTTTGACCTGGCCACGCGGCAGATTATTACATTACGAGCCACGATGGCACCTGCTTCGCCACGCTTGTACGCGTTTATTGTTCGTATACGTGCAAACAGCCTGAATAGTGTTATGCTTGAGAGTAAAATATTTTCATTCGCTTTTACTAACGCAGACGATGTTACAAATTGAGCAATAATGAAGTTTGTCAGAATTTCTTTAATAATACTATAATCGCCCTCATTTAATAAGGAAATTAATTTACCCAAAGAAGTTATTTGCAAATTTAATTGGCTAGATTCTTATTACAGTATACAAATATGTATACGATAAATTTGTAAATTGTATATTATAGCTAGTATTCAAGAGCCACTATTGAGAATGAATTACAACGACAGCGAGGATGAGTTTTCTTTCGAGTTAAGATTCTCGCGAGAAACGGAATGTTGATTGCCACTTCCATACCTGACGCAGGTCTTTAAATGTTGCGATTTTTGTCATAATTCAATATGGTGGTCATAGAAATTCATTAGAGAGATTAGCATATTTCTGACTGTGGACTTAGCGCGCTCGTAGAATGGTCGTAAACGGGACTTCGCTTAATTTCATATTACGATCATTACATTGCTTGGAATTTCCTTGGTAATGAGCGCTTCACCTCTGTATGGCATTTTCTATAGTTGTCATTAAAGAAAATGTCACTGAAATTTTTTATAAAACAGAAAATGAAAAGATATTTGCTACCGTTCACTGGACAAGAGTATTCGTTAAAAGAATATCTTCGAGAAAATGTGACGATCAGTTTGTAGGTACAATACGTATTGTGCTTACCTGCATACTTACTGTGTCGATTCATAATGTTAGGGTGAACTGGTCTTAAATGTCAGGTATCATAACACGCGTCAATGTATCGAACAAACTCGCAAATTCATGAGGGAACAGCTGGACAATTGGAGAGGCCCCAGAAAGAGATCAGTGATTAGGTATGAACAGGTTGCCTCGCATCGGAAAGGAAAGGTGGTCATTTCGAGAGCAAGATACGACGATAAGCGTTCAGACGGGCATAGAAATGGCTATTAAAGCTTATTATCCTCTTAAGAGTATTCTCTTTCAGTGGGGAACTCTGCAATCTGTCTGCAGACTGCAAAGAGACACCAATTGCGAGAGAAAGTAGCATGAGTGTCGCAATGCGACTTCGCATTTCGGATCGTGACTCCGCGAATTATTATTTCTTGAGAGTTTAAGTAAATTCATGGATTCCAGTTTATTTGTCAAATATTTTAAGTAACGTGTCAGTCCACAGCTTTTCAATTTTTAAAGGATAATAATTTTAGAGACAGAAACAAGAAACCTGATTTGGATCAAATCAATTTATCGAAGAAACCAAAGGAATGCTCTGAAGAGGTGAAAGAAAAGTAAGAAGTCCGCAATACGGTGGCTCGTAAGACGAGGAAATTACACGTTCGGGAGGAAGTCCCAGCTGTAACCCTGGGGGTAACGCAGGTGGAAGCGTAATGTAATAATTTGCCCCATGGCCCGGGTCAAACGAAGAGTCCCTTTCATAAACGTATACGCGTTGTATAAAACAAAGAAAATTAAGTTTAAAATAAGATGTATGAATTTACGAAGCGACTGTAAAAGTCTGACCAACTAATTCTGTTACCAGCTTCTCATTCGCGTTGTTCTTGGCCAGGTTTCCTTTCGTTTCTTGGTATGAGGGATTTTAGCAACGTCATTGAAAGTGCAATTCCTAATTTTGACTAAAATCGTTTTCCTTATCGTTTCGTTTTCAGAGTCACTTTTCAATCGTTTAACGAACAGAGATCGGTTCTTTTCGTCGCGAGTAGACGTAACAGCACGAGACGTGAAAGCTGAACGAGTAGCTTTGTTGCAAAGGGTTGCCGATCGCTCTCTCGCGCGAAACAGGCCATCGGAAGTTCGTTTCGTTCGTCGCCGACGTCCTTTTTCCGTTCACACTGTATTGGCTCCCTCGCATGATTGCCCCGAATAACGTTCACGCTAGCATGGAACATTTTTCCTAAAATTTTGGCCCAACAAATTTTCGAATCGGTGGATAAATTTTATCAACAACTTTGCGAAACTGTTGAATCTTCTACATATCTTTTACCGTTTAAACATACGAGAAATTGTGTTTTATTTTTTAAGAATCTGCTCGCGTTTAGAGAGTAAACTCAGGGCGAAGTAGTGCAAAGCTTTGGGTGAACTCTGTGTCACAGATAGAGTGAGAGGAAGAGAAAGAGAGGGAAGGAAGGTACGAATGGAACGACGGAAGATAGAGAACGGAGAGGTAGGAGAGGAAGAGAAGGGAGGGCAGTGAATTAAGTTTCTCCGCCCCTGAGGCCGACACATTCGCCGACACTCGTCACGACCACCCTCTGGGGGTCCTGCGAATCTTTCAATAGAAATTCTGCGTGAAGGGGACGCCGCCTCGAGGCCCCAACGATGCAAACACCACGTTCTCTCTATTCGATTCACCTTAGAATCTCAATATCAAAAACGACTTACATAATCACGGGGTGAGTTTCACCCTCTTCGAATTTCCACTCACCGTTTCCCGTTTTCGAACGAAATAATCGTGAACCACGTAATGAGGAGAAAGACAAATATATTGGATTCACAGTGATTTTCTCTTACTTCATTAAGAAATCACGGTACTTCCATTTACATGACAAGCACTCATAACTTTTTCAATAACTGCACTTTCACCCGTCCCTAGTTGTCGAAACCCTGTCGTTAAGCGGTCAGGCGTCGTTTAAAGAAGGAAACTTACGGAAAGGCATAAAGAAACGGTCGAAGCGAGGGTAGAAGAAGTTGCGACCCGTTTCATTCGAACGGACGCAAATTTATTATGTCCTATCCCGAGCCGAAACGTGCCGCCGCGGCGGACGTTTATTCGATGCCTCGAAAGATGAATGGTCGGGTGTAAAGCGAGTCACGAGCGATGTAAAATTTTTAGCCCACCTTTTACTTTTCAAACGAGCTCTCTTACGTTCGTACTACGGTTCAAAGTTTTTGTAATTATAAACTTGTCAATATCGTAATAAAATATGATAAAAGTACACTTTTCAACTGAGGGTGTAATAGAAGTTTAGTAAAAGATTTTATACCTTCAATATTTCGAAGATGACGTTAATTAAAAAGATTCATTACAGAAAAGCGTTTAATTAAAAAATGTAAATTTATGAAAAACAAGGAAGGATTACGTTACGTGAGAAAATAAAAATCAGCTCCATAATTCTTGCTCGGATGTATCCATCAAAGCTATGACAAATATTTCTTCACGCCCTACAATCCGGCACACAATGCGCCTTTCCTTACGGTCTGGGCCCAATGGCGCGGCAAGGCCGTGCGCATTCGTATGCAAATCAGGTTAGAACGTAACAGAGAGAAGAATAAAAAGAGAGAGACGCGCGGGGAGTAGGGATGCCCGGGACGATACCGAAGACCAGCGACCGATAAACGCCTGCACGGGGATAACGAGATTGTGCAAAAATGTACACGAGCTAAATATAGTCGGTTAATTGGCACTAATTGCGAGAAGTCGGTTCGCGTGGCCGCGTGCCATGACTCGCGGAGATCGATCGAATTTGGAGATCACCAGATTCGGGTGTAAGAAATATGGTGACGCGTCCCTTCGCAGTGTTACTCAAGATAAATGTCCTAATTCCAACTCACGTCCTAGTATTTCTACTCGCTGGCTTATTTTTCTATAATTTTTACGTAATAAATATATAAAATAAATACATCAAAGACGGAACTGTCACACATTTGGTGCTTTTCATCATTACGTTTATCGTTTTGCTGTTCAATTTAAGCTTTCCCATACATCTGTTGAATTTTAAATTTGAAACTTGATGTTGCATCCTATTATTAATTTAATGAGCGCCTTTAATAGCAAAGAGTGAACGTAATGTCAAAATTCGCTTGACAAATAGACGTTCGGTTTATAATGAGGATAAAATGACAGTGGATCTACAGTAACTAGATGAAACATGAAACTCCTCGTTTCAACGGAATGAAATGTATTTATCTCATAACTCTGGATGTTTTAAAAGGGCAACAGAATAATTTATTTTTATACTAAATATTAATTGTTCTCTTAAATTAGCGTGTCGTGTAACATAGATGGTATACAGTTTTCAATTTCCTCGTCTTAAGACTCAATTTTCGTACATTTTAATTTGAATCTTGAGCGAGCGTGAGGTCGTGCTGCGAGGCCGACGAGCGACGCGGGCAAAAAGCCGGAAAGGAGAGCGTCGAGCAGATCGAACGTTCCCGGAATACATTAGCGAAAAACTCAATTACGAGGGGAACAATAAGGATTCCGCGACGCTGGAACCCTTTTTGCGGCGTCCACGATATAGGTAGCCGAACGAAATTATTACTCGACCGCCGCGTTTCTTCGCCCATTACCAGGGACAAACTAACTTCGTATCCACTCGGAATTGCAAATTCCCTCGGGAGGAGCTCTCTTTATGTATTATGGAGGAGTAGGATGACCACCGCCTGATTCCTCAATGAAATTTAATTAGTTCACCCCCCGCGGAACAAAAATCTCTTCTGCTCAGGTGATGATTACGGATCGTCCTCTACCATCACACTGCTCATCTCGTCAAATTTTTTAATACCACTCGTAACGATCGTGTGGAATAATTTGTGGAGATTTAAAAGTGTAGAAGTAGAAAAATGGTATGAAAATTGATTTGATAATGTTTAATTGATATTCTCTGGTAAATTCTTCTGATACATTTCGTATGCAGTAACAGAAATGAAAACAGGAGACGTCAAAAAGTAGGATGCAGGAAATTCCTGTGAAGAAAGGTGCTCGCCTTATGAGTGATAGGTTCCTTCCTCGGTTCTTTATCGCAGCGTTTATCAATTTACAATTCCCAGTTCAGGGAAGCGACGAGCGGAATACCAATTGATCGTGGACGTGAAAAACGCGGCTGAAATCCCTCGCCAATCCGTCCTCTAGCCGTTGGCTGCGTTCGAGTTCACGATAAAAGGAGAGTCAACCTTTTCGATCGGGCAATCGGTACGCCAGGTGGAAACGCGGTTGGAAGAAGGACTCAGGGACGTTTGCCATTTTTAGGAACATAGTTGCCAATTCGGACAAACTCCCCTTAAACCATGTGTGGAATCGAGTAGCGTGACGGGTCGCAGGTTTTATATTTTTTACCACAGCTTGTCATCTTTTTTTAGGGACAGTTGTTTGAATTGATACTTGGTGTCAGTTCTTAATAATTGGCTAATTTTAATTTGAGATATAACTTGATATAAACCAACGTTTTCTACTTCCAAGTTAAAAGAATCATTATATTAATAAAACAGATTTCTTACTACTGCACATATATTTAATCCATGATACGAGGGTCTTTAAAAAAATAATACACGAATGTTATAATGATACCAAGACTTCACACATAACAAACACAATGACAAAACATAGTAAATCGGTAATCGGAATTCGAAGAAGCAGGTGGCATGCAAACAAAACATAAGAATCTATGAAGAGAGAGGGAACTGCGAGTACGAGTAATTGTTCGGGATACTCGGAGCATAACTGCTCGTCGTCGGCTGGTTCCCCGTCTTCCTCTATTACCACGAGGCCGCTAACTCAATTTGTATGCGACTGCGCGAGCCCGCCAAATGCACGGCCGCTTAAGGTCAGCGCGGTTTCTAGCCAAGTTCCACAGACTGATGCACGCGGAAAAAATCGCCGCTCTTATTTCTCTCCTTTCGTGCCTCCTCACATACTTTCATCTCCGCGCGTTTTCTCACGTTCGCGGATAACGAAACAGCTCCACTGTTTCATCGTCTGGATTATCTGATTAAATGATTTCAAGTTCAAGAATTTGGAACCTTGTTGCATCGTGCAATACAAAATTTTTATCATGATTCTTATAGTTTCTCATGCCAAAAACGAATTTGCACACAGAGATGCTCTGTCAATTTCTCTAAAAATGCATGATTTTCGGCAAAATTTTGTTCGGAAATTGTTATTAAACTTCGGATTTTATTTTAGAAAATATCAAAACTGAAATAAAAATTATGATTTCTAAAATACAAGAGAAATTCCTATTTAAATTTCATTTTTTTCATTGATATTAGAAATGGTTCATTTGGCACAAAAATCTCTGACCATTAATTGTATAGAAAAGAGGAATCTCAACTATCTAAGAAAATCTTTAATAGTATCATATAGTATAATGATATGTAATATAAATTTTATTATAAGAATTATTGAATTTTCTGAAAAATTTACTAATCTACCTCGAACCGCAGGAACAGTCAATATCGCGTAAGCGTTCATCGGTGCATAATTTCCCTATGGATATTCGGAATTCATCGATGTTAGTAGATCGTGCCAGGGCGTATCGAGGATTGGCTTTAATCATATTCCAGTGGTGGATAGGTAGATACAGCCACTGCTGCCACTTCCGTCCTTAATCCACCCACGCAGCTTGGCTACCACTATTGAAGCACTCTGACTTTGAGCCATGAATCGACCTATCGATCGATCTTGCATATTGTGAACACTCGAAATAATGTATGCTCGGTTGAAGATGATTCGCGAGTCTGCTGTTACATTTAGTGGCTCATCGATGATACGTATATACCTGCTAATGATCATTTAGTCAATATTTCTCGTTTTCATCGAATCATACAATTTCTGCAGCAGACATATTTTACTTACCAATTACAATGATACATCAATTTGTGTATCAATTTTTCGTAAATCTAAATTAATTTATAATTAAATGGACACTTTCATAATGAACTAATTTGTTATTATGTACCAATTTAGTAACTAACGAACGAAGCGTAACATATGTAGGCGCGTAATTTCTTGTGAAAACTCGGTTTCCCTCGCGCATCCCATCTTTCCGAAAGATTTGCAACGGTGCAGCCGGTCGGAGCGCACCGACATCTCTTCAATTATCCCTTATAAGAGCGAGTACTACGTACTAGTCAGTGGAAGAAAACGCGAGGCAAGAACCGGCTCGGGACCCTTGGACCCCCTACCGGTTTTACTTCGGCCTACCGATCACCCTTCTTCTCTCCTCGAATCGCATCGAGAGGATCCCCTCGTTAATTGCCTACGGTTGAAGATGATTCGCGAGTCTGCTGTTACATTTAGTGGCTCATCGATGATACATATACTTGCTAATGATCATTTAGTCAATATTTCTCGTTTTCATCGAATCATACAATTTCTGCAGCAGACATATTTTACTTACCAATTACAATGATATATCAATTTGTGTATCAATTTTTCGTAAATCTAAATTAATTTATAATTAAATGGACACTTTCATAATGAACTAATTTGTTATTATGTACCAATTTAGTAACTAACGAACGAAGCGTAACATATGTAGGCGCGTAATTTCTTGTGAAAACTCGGTTTCCCTCGCGCATCCCATCTTTCCGAAAGATTTGCAACGGTGCAGCCGGTCGGAGCGCACCGACATCTCTTCAATTATCCCTTATAAGAGCGAGTACTACGTACTAGTCAGTGGAAGAAAACGCGAGGCAAGAACCGGCTCGGGACCCTTGGACCCCCTACCGGTTTTACTTCGGCCTACCGATCACCCTTCTTCTCTCCTCGAATCGCATCGAGAGGATCCCCTCGTTAATTGCCTTGACATCCCGAAAACGATTCGCGAATCACGCGCCTCAGAACCACTGTGTAGCAAATTCCCAATGAAAACTTATTTAAATAAAAAAACACTTGAAAGATAATATCACAATTTAATTTTTGTTTTCGTCACCTCGGGTGGTAATCTTGTTCTGTATATGCAAAAGGATATTTATCGTTTCTATTAAGGATCAATAAATTTTTAACATGGCTGTATGCATTTTATAATTAAATTAATCATAATCGTATTTTGCTTCCAGGTGGTTCAGCATCTGTACGAAATTAAAGCTCCCGGCATACCAGGTATGTAAATTCATTTTATTCTATAATTATTATTTCTGATTTGTAGTTTCATAGAAACTTCAATATGAAACATCAAGGTAGCCAAATGAATTTTCCAAAAGCAATTAGCGAAGTAGTTATAAAATATTCCATTGACTAAATGGATTGGAGGATTTAATTTCCGTAAGCGAACGGCGTAAAATCGTAGATCCTGGCAGTCGATCCTGGTATACGATAAACGCGAGTTTCGTTCGAAAGGCGAAACCAGTTCGACGCGAAAACGTGCAAGAATCGCGCGCGCGCGCGCGCTCGCGCGAACGTAGCAGTCCTGACTAACGATCTGCACCGAGGAACGATAATCTCGCGGCTCGAAAACGAGATCTACCACGGGTACCATCGCGCGGTAACCGTTTTGCCCTCGAGGTCGTAAAACGGCGGACACATTGTAATCGGAGGCAAATCGGGATATCGCTTCCGGTCGATCGTGAAGTCCCCGCCTGTTTTTCGCTTCTCCTTTTTATTACTCAGTGAGAAGGGAGAGATAGATGCGACGCCAGGCATGAGAAATGAGATCCAGTCGGTTCTGGTTTGATGACTGCCTCAAGGGCTCGGCTCGTTTTTTGGTTTCGAATGAATGGAAAATGGTAATGGTGCTGGCATCCAGGGAAAAAGAAATGGTGGCTATATTAGGGTTGAAATGGAGTTAGTATTGAGGTGGAAAAGGAGGTATAAATCTGCATAAGAAATGCAATAGAAGAATGCAGGAGTTTAGAGGTTTCTGAGAGAACTATTACTTTCATAATAAAAACTTTACACTGTCTAAAAGAGCAGTTTTGAATAAAAGAAGCAGTAAACTCAAGGGAATATGTTCATGAAGCGAAATGCAATACTTTGTTCAATTTAAATCTCAAATTCTTCACATGATATATGAATCAAGACTGCTACTACATAAGTTGCATTCAGAAAGCGAAATAACACTGGACCTGGCAGGAAAAATTGAAACCATTCAAAGAATCTGAGAAAAAGAACCTTCGTAGCAAAGAGAGGGATAAAGATCGTCTCCGGAAATTCATAGAGTTATAAAGATTTCGTGGGGGTTAGCTATACCGCGACGAATTTGAAGAGCAGAGATGATCGAGAAAAAGGAGCAAGCGTAAAAAGCGTAAAGCGAGGCGACCAGTCGAAGAGAGATGAAGATTCTCGCGAGAAGGAGACAGGAGATCGTTAAAGAAAACGCGGTGAAGAAAGGGACAGGGAACAGGGCCGAGGATGGAAGAGAGAGGGAGAGGGAGATGGCCAGAGGAAGAAAAGGAATAATCCGAAGGAAGGACGTGGCGGATCGTGTTGGGGGCCGTACCAGCGGTCCTCGGGCATTCCCGATCATTATTCCAGAGGCTTGCCACGGGCCCGGGGAGGAGGCCAGCCTGACCTTGGCGCGAAGGCATGACTGACCTTGTTGCCGCTACATTCGAGGAACACTGTGTCCCATCCATCATGCAAATGAGCCAGTAATGAATATCAAACGACGTTCTTGCGGTGAATATTTTTCCGCGACTCGGATACATGCCGGGAATACTCGGAATGGGTACCACTACCGAGACGAGACCGAGGAGTCAGTACAAAAATCAACTTGCAGAATCAGGGATGCTGGATGCAACAGGCACTGTGCACAGGAAGATTTAAAAGGAAAGTTTCGAAAAAGGAGATTAAGAAGATGTACAGATTTAGAGAGCGTAAAGTGCATCTTTGCATAGTCTAGATAATTCATGATAAACGTGATGAAGAGACAAGGTACAAGGTTCAGGTACGAGTGCAAAAATTTCAACGCATTTCCGAAATCTCTGGAGACGCAAATCCGCTTTTCAATCCATTTTCCCTGGATGTCAAAGGAGATTCAGATTTCAACGAAATAGGATTTAGATTCGAATTTCATTTTTCCTTTACAGAACTTGAGAAGTAACGATGTTTGACATGGATGGGGTAAACTCGATGGAGCTACCTTTTCAAAAAGAAACTTTCCTTCAAACAAAATTATACATACATATATAACATTTATCCTTTTACCTCTACGTTTTATAAGACTATTATTATACATACATACATTATATGTATATTGAACTTACCTTATGCGTCAAGCCTGAATCTTCTTCATTGGTCCTCTTCAGGCAGCTCCTAACATTATCGAAGTTCCGCGTGGGGTAACCATAGTTTTCGGCGAACACTTCCGCTGGTGGCTTGTAGTCCGGATACCCAGTTGGTGACGGTGTCGTCGTTAAGGGTTGGCTGATGCTACCCGGTGTTAAACAATTCGATATCGCCATAGAAGCGTCGTCCTCCACCTCGAACACGTCGTCGCTCATACTGTCGTCGGCTGTCATGATCTGCGGGTGAAAAATTGACCGGAAGCGTGAACACCCGGTGAATTATGGGGCCATTGATACGGTTCTTGTACAGTGATTTGTTAGCCCGATCGAAAACGGGAGAATCATGGTTATTACACGCATATTTCATTCAGAGAATTCAGTTTTTTAGAATCATGTTCTCGAGTGAAGTAAAAAAATCATAGTAAAGTAACTTGTAGCATCCAGTATTTTTAGTATAAAAAATGAAAAAGGAAGTCCGCCAGTTGTGAACTTGCTTCTATCATCGCGGCTGATAATGTATACAATATAATTAAAGCTCGGGTTTATGATTCATAGAAATTCATTCGCAGTAACACGTCCAATCGAAACTACGATTTCTCGCGATCGTCGTGAACCGACCGGTTAATATTTTAGGTATTACAATCTGAAGGACGGTCGTGGCCGTCGTATATGGCGAAAGAAATGCTTCGGGTATGGAACGGTTCGCGATAATTCTCACTGAAACGAGCCACCGCTGTCGTATTATCAAAGCTACCGAGAAAACCAGTTCGCAGAAGCACGCACGCACGCACGCACGCACATACGTCGCGTCGCCGTGCCGCTTGGCTCGCGGCCGCGAACGCTGGAATAACTGTCCTTCGAGATCGCTCGATATCTCCATCGCATCGCCGTATACCGCCGGGTAGAGACCATGCGAGATGTCAATTAACGAGGCATCCTGAGAATCGCGACTCGTCCCGATTAGCACTCAATACTTAATCCGATGGTTGTCCCCTTTTTATGGAAAGTTGATGATACATTCAGAAGAGATGTAGAGTATTCAACGATTTTTCTGATAAACATTGCACTCTGAGTAATGTTCGATGATCAACATAAGTCCAATGGTCGTTGGGTTCTTATGTTGAGTTCATGATAGATTGAAAAGGGATGTATACATATGTATAGTGACTTGTGATTTATCTGGTAAACATTGCATTTCGAGTAATGCTAGAAGATGATCAATAGCTTGAGATGATGGATCGATTCGATTAGCCTTGATTATTATTTTATACGATGTCTAAGAATATTATTAAAATATTAGCGAGTGACGAGTCTGATAACTTGACAATTCTGATTCTGATGAAGTATTAATGAAATATACTACTGATGTTTTCAATTGTTTTTTAATGTTGATAATTTTGTACAAATTATGAATGCAAAAATTACAATATAAGAACATGAAATAAAAAATTTAGAATTTGTTAATAAAAGAGGAATTGCTATTGTGGTTAGGTGATGTATAAATAAATTTCATGTATCACGAAGAAGGGTGAACACATTTCCCTTGGCTTGTTCGCTGGTCGAAGAAGTCCCGGAGGAAAGCGTGCATCCGTCTCTGAAACATTCATACGCGACTTTTCAAGCCCGCTCGGCGCGAAAGAGAGATTACATCGGATTTCTTCGACGGCTCTCCGCTGTACCGAGAACTGCCATAAATCATGCATGACTCTCCTCCTCCACTGTACACTGTACGTACACCATACAAACGTTTCGATTCGACACTCGCGGTACCACCGTCGTAAACGATGAAGTAACGCGTATAAATTAACAATTTCATGCATGGCGTGTTTGATATTCGCCTGATTGCATTAGAGATTGGCATGCTCGTAAGAATAATTAAATGTCGATAATAATAATTAAATAAATATAGTAAATTGAAACTTAATACACAATAATTAACTATCTATTTTATAAAATCATTTTCATAAACGATTAATTATAAATATTATGAGTATGAGAATTTTCTTGGAATATTTGAGTGACATCAAGGGGTTGAAATTTGAACAGAGGGTTCGAAATCATATTGATTGATTTATCATTTTATTTGGGGATAGTAAAAATTCTGGGGTGGCCTGAACCAGAGGTCGTAAGACAGTGTAAACGTGTAACACGCGATCTCGTTCACGGTATTCGCCCTCCATTTCTTTTCGACCAGCAGACCGCCCCGTGTTGGCCCGTGACGGAACCCAAGGGGTAGTCCCACCCCTAGTTACGAAGTACGAGTTCCGTACCCGTACCCTATGAATTTATCAGACCGCGCCCGATAGAGGCGAGAACGTACCGATTAGGTAAGACAGCCTGTTACAAACCGGGAAATTAGGATTCTCGAGGGAGAACAACGTAAGAGATTCAGGAAAGGATTGAATTACCGCATCTACTTTTACCCTTGGGATTAATTACAATTAAATACGATCATTATCGCATCCCGATTTTTTTATAATGAAAGTTATATTCTTCACTGAATGTAATTTTGTTAAAGTTCAATCACTTTTCTTTATTTTTTTATTTTCTTGTTACCATTTCAATATCTGTCAGAATTGTTTCCGATCAACTTGATGTTTTCGAGGGAATATTTTGTTCTGTATTTCGACAATCTACACAAAATAGTTATCGAAGTGGATGTTCACTTGTGGGGATGAGAGATGGTTTTTGGAATTGAATGGATTTGAATTCCTATTGGTTTCTGTTGTAGGCTGGAGGGAAATGTCAGTACAAATTTTACGTCCTGTTGAATCGATTTTATTGGAAATCTTGATGATGGATGAAAACCGTCGTACTATTCGATGTAACATCGACGTGTAGACATATTAGGTTTGATGTTTAAACATTTTGGGAACAATATTGTAATTACATAAATTTATATTTATTTTATATTTAAATGAAATATCACGTTTGATCTATTGGATCATTAAAAAAAATCGTAGGATTCCTAAAGTCCGAGTCCTTCGGTCTATTCCCAATTACAAGCGATATCTCGGTTAAAAATCAACAAGAAAAAACGTATAGGTACCAATTATTCCGCGAATCGATAAAAAGTAAAACAGAATCATGACCGTGCGTCCTGAATATCAAAAAGTAGAAGCGCTTGTTCCTTCGGTTCGGATACATTCCTCGTTATCGCACGGGATAACCGTATTCAGGGCCGGGATCGATCGGGATCGATGGCGACCTGTAAAACGCGTATACGACTGTCGCGCAGAATACTTGCAGCACCGGTTTTCGCGTTGCCCAACGAGAAACTCGCCCACAGTAATAGGCTTGCGAAATCACCCCTGGAAAACAGACCGCGACACTTTGAAAAAAGTTCCCGCGGGACTCCTCTGGGATGACCGAAAGGGTGACTGGATAATCAGATTGTTCGGGTTAGAGTTGAAGCTTGAGCAGCGAGCAGAAGAATCAAGTTTCTTATATTTTAGGAAATATTAGGGGTTTTGATGTAAGAGTGAATAAATGAAACATCGATTGTTTATTTTTGAAGATAAATTTATTCAAGAGTAATGAAGATTCTTGTTAATTTTAATTGTCTCAAACGAGAAAGATACTTTTGGATATTTATGGATTACAATTCTTGTTAGTGTATTGTATTCTTTCACTAATCACATTGTTGAGCATAGATCTTATCAGACAGATTTTTGTTAGCTTCATTTAGAGTTCTCGGAATTTTTAATATGATAATGTAACCGAAATAACGTAAATACTTAATCGCAATGTTTTCATGATAAACCTGTTTAATTATGCATGTGTACTTACGTTAAGAGACGTGGAGGCGGGTACGGTGACCATAGTAGGGACTTCGCCACTGCCGCCCCTCATTTTGCCCGTTCACGCGGCCCACCACCCTCTCACGAACGGCGTCACATCAGAGCTCTGTTAACAGAGAAAGCAAGGGAGTCAGCTTGTAAGCTCGTAATTCGATTCCGGGGTGAATTCGCATTGGGGTTAAAAGCGAAGCGCGCTTTACACCGAATATTTCGTAACCAAATACTAACGACCCTCTCTGGTTTACGATATCTACGATGATTCTCCCTATTTATGCTGACAAATTGCAGTAATACAGTTTGAAAAGGGTGCAAGCGATGAACGCTAGCTCTGTTTCTCGAAACGGGATTATTCAGGATAAGATATGTCTACTCGCAATGGAGACGGTTTCTTCAAATTCACTTTAAATCAGTTTCAATGCATACTTTCTTTACATCTATTGGACTACACCTTTTCAATCAGTTTAGTACTATCCAATTTGTATGCAAACGTGAGTTGCTCAATGGAGATTGTTTGATAGCCTCAGGATTAGCTCTCATTCGTTTACGCAACCATGACTTCAGGGCGAATTCCGAAACGTGTAGCATTGGATCGCGGTATGAAACATTCTTGTTGCAATTTACATTAAGTAACATCTCTTCTATTCATTTTTCAACAAAGATAAATAAGAAACAATTCTTCAAGAATTTTGAAACTTTATCTTTGACTCAAGCGTTGACGTTTCGATAGTATAATTCAACGATTTAAAACTACTTGCGTCGTGTACTCGAAAAACGGACTTAGAAATTGGCAAGGAGGAAAACAATTTCACGACAATTGATTAATTAATCTAATGGTGGCCGTGCAACTTCGACAATTAAATCGCCTGAATTAATTCGCCTGAAACGTATCTCGGTTTCTTTCCCCAAATGCTCGCGTCGCCATTATCCCGGGACAATTTACGCATTCGCCGCTACGCCATCGGCGAATTAAATCGTGTGAGAAATTATTCAGCTAATCCCCATAATTCACATCTACCGCTTAATTATCCTAAGAGAGTAAATTTCGTTTATAAAAACTTTCCCTATCGTTCCCAATATCGCATCCAGTATACATATTTTAACCGTGGTTATACAAGGAGAGTTCTACTCAGGAGAAGTGAAATGTTCTCTTATACCTCGTTCTAGACCAAATTCTTTATCGGACAATCTGTTCTATGTACATTGTCTTCGTAAGAAATATTTTATTCTTTTCGATCAGTTGACCTCTCTGTATTCCTCTTTAGTTCCACACACAGACTATACTATACTATTTTCCTTATCAGGCGATAGCTCTCATTGTCTGCTATTCAGTTACTCATTTATATTCAGTCGTAAAAGCATCTCTGTCTAGCCTCCTACTCTCGCCACACGAATGCATCTTCCTATTTAATTCCAACAAGCTTGCGTGCACAATTTTTCCCCGTTCTCACCGGGTTCCCTTGTAGTATCGTACATTCTACGTTCATCCTCGTTCATTCTCCTACCTCAGTGCATTCCCATCCTTCTTCGATTCTCTCGAACAGCTCTGTTCCCCTCTGCTACCTCTACCACACTCTTAACTCGCATGCTCTTTTGTTTTCACCTCTCTTCTCTCTTTCCTTTCGATCAGTTCCGTCTTTCTCTAGCCTTCATCCTTTCTTCTTCATTCCCTCCTTGATTCAAACACAGTTTCCTTTCTCTGTTCCACATCCGCTCCGTCGTAAGCTCGTTTCTTTTTCCTTTTCAAACGATGTACGGTGTTCTCTGTTCGACTCGCGCCGAGTTATCAGTCCTCGTTTTGTTCTGTGCCTGTTCCCCTTCGTTTCTTCTCTTTCGCGTGGATCAGGGGAAAAAGAGAGAGAACAGTGAGGAGAGAAACGGGTTTCGTTGGCGGTCTCTGTCTCTGCGTGGCCCACCCACCGCAATAAGTTCCACCCGCCCACGTTACCTCTCACGCACTTCTGCCGCGCGATCATCCGTTGCGAATTGGAAAGCAGGCGCGCCGCTTATCTCGCCCCGGGATCTCCCTCCGCGCCTCTCAAAAACGGGAAGAGAGCGAGACGGAGGAAATTGTTCTGCCTTTCCTATCCGCTCTTTACCACATCTACTTGGCACAGATCTAGAACATTTCCCGCAGGAAACAGTATTACACTTCATATCATTTCTGTGTCTCGTACCTCTGTAATTTCTAGTTAATCACACGTGCGTCGCGTAAAGGAATTACGTGACTGACAATTTTTTGACTTGCAATTTTTCTATATTAACAACGTCAGTGCAGTGCTGCAATTATTTTGGTGAAATCCAATTTTTGTGTCCCAGCGAGCTTTAATGGGCAACGGAACTCGTATACAGGATTCATAATTATACCGTCATTAGAATGAAATTTCAGAATTTAAACAGACACTTGCTTTCCTGTGCACTACAGTTCATTATATCGTACGTGCATACGCGATGCCTTAGAATATAATCAGTTCGTTTATGCGCACACGTCAATTATACATTGCTTAATTGATGCGATCAGCTCATATTACCTACACGTTGTTCATCCAATTAATTTAAATTTTCTAGTTATATTCATTTAAATGTGAAAGGTCGTAAATAACGTTTGCAAATTGTTACACAGCTGATTGAATCTCTGCGCACCGCTATTCAAATATTAAAACATTATTCTCGATTCTGATACTCAGTAATTGGCTTCCATTAATATTAACTTTCTCTGTGTCAACATACGTCGTCGTTGATAAACTTAATTGTTGTCATTTTATGCAATTTCGATAAAATATTCAAAAGCTCTCTGTTCAAATAATTGCTTGAAAGTATATCCGCGCGACTAAATAATTCTATCTCTGTCGCTACAAAATCATGCTCAGTTAGAT